CACTATTTAATCATATTTTAAATTTGTCTTATTATTCTTGTTTTTGAACTATGTCTTAATTATTAGTTTTAGCAAATAAATTCAATAAATTTTTGTTTTTATTATAAAATTTTAATATTATTTATTTTTTACAATATTAATAGTTACAAATTAAGTAATATTTAACAATAAATAGATTAACTTAAATAAAAATATATATTAATTTCAATATTTATTAAACAAACTCTTTTCTTTTTTTGGCAAAAGACTTCCATACCAACAATATTCTTGCAGGTAACTTGATTAAATTTTGCTTTGGGGTAAATTCCTATACCAATTTTTTTGCTTTGTCAGTGAAAGAATGAGGAATATTATAAAATTTTAATTTTTTTTTGCAAATTCATGAATGTTTCCGATGGTAGCTTTGTCAGTGAAAGAATGAGGAATATTATAAAAATAAATCTAGTGCCAACGTTAGGTTTGTCGGTAAATTACTAATGTGACTTATGAGTGATTAGTCTGCGTGTAGTAAACTAGCTGTAGATTAGGGACATGCTTCTCGTTGGTGATTTATACTAATTTACCGACTTGACTTACCTAAAATGAACTCCAGGAGTACGGTTCTGACAACAAGTTAGAGACATGCCTTTTGTCGGTAATTTGGATTAATTTACTGACGTGACTTTAATTCACATCAATAAATAGATTATCGAGAAGACTTACACCGACAAATGTAACACCGACAAATGTATCACCGACATGATTCAAATTGGAAATTGTTTTTAACGATGAGACTCCTTTTGGTTTCCGATATGATTTCTTGTCGGTGATATTAGGTTTTTTAGTAGTGCGAGTGGGTGTTTCAGCTGGGAGATGCATGGGCACATGTCAAAAAGATCTTGATCTTTCCATGTCACCGTGTTCTCACTCTGGTGGCACTTCTTTTCCTCCATTCTTTGTCATAAGCAGAAATGGACTCTTTCTATGCTACTGCTCCACTGTGATTTCTCTACCGCCACTCAGTTTGGTTGTTTTTCCTCTATTTCACCAGTAAGAGGTCTTTCCTTGGAGGTGTTGTGTTGCTTTGCACAACTACCTAGTCTCAACTCCTTGGTTCTCTCTATGGTCCTGTATTTCAAGTGACTAAAGGGGAAGAAGGTGAAGCAGATGATATGGTTTTCCAAACAAAGCCTATTATTAAGAGGATGTCAGCTTCTGGCCGGAGTTCCCCGTCCTTTTGTTACTTTTTAGCAGGATTTTATCGGAATGTTTTGATGTTTGTTTTTGTTCTTGTACGTTTTGTTTAAGTGCTATTTTCCCTCTTTTGGTTGTGTCCTTAATTTGTCGAAGAGTTTTGTATGGATCTTTTATTTAGTTTACATAAAAGATAAGTACGTTTGTTTTCCAAAAAAAAAAAAAAGGCAACACAATCTAAATATGATAAACATAATCCTCATTCCTCAACCTCAAAGATAGGTATTATAAAATTAGGAGGGAAAAAGGGGACATATTCCTTATTGGCAGGGTCAGCTCCTCTCTTAATCATGAGAGTTGTTGTAACTAACCATAACCTAACTTCCTGTTTGGTTTAACATTATCATTTGGCCAAGCATTAATTCTTTTTGTAACTCTACCTTAATTCTCGTTTGGCTAAACCTTACTGAACCAATTTGACAGAAAACTAGAGATGATGTTTTTGAGTGTTACTTCCTCTATTTTTAGAAATGATTATGGTTACATTTAAAAATGTTAAACACAAATTTTTATTTATTATCTTTTATAATATTGATTAAATTTATTTTGACCATTAAAAATAATTGATAATTGTAACTCTTGATTAGTAAATAACAAAATTGTTGATATTTATTATTTAATAAATTAAAATCAATTTGTAAATTAATATTTTTAAATACCATAACTATTTATTTAAAATAATAAAAATATTTGTATGACTTTAACACTTTTTAATACTTTTTAATGTATTCATAACCATACCCCCATATCTTCCATCCTCTATATAGTTGTCATATCATAATCTATTAATAACTAGAAGTGAAAGTATCAACCATACAATGATTCATGGTTTGGTATGCAAACTCACTTTTATAATGGGTCAAGAAAATTGTTATTGAATAAAATTACAGTTAATCATAAAAGAACACATAAAAATTTCCCTAATTTTAATCATCAATAACTAAATCAAAACAAATATAACACTTAATTTGATCAATTCCCATGATGGCTATGAATTTGTTATAAAGATTATTTACACCCCAAAAGCTGCCCTCTCTAAATGCCAATTCAAACAAGCTAGATGCAGCTCACCTTATTGGAACATGCTTGATTTGCGCATGCGATATTACCTATTCTCTCTTCTTTCTTTTGACCAGGTTCGAAATATTTCTTGACCTTCCTTCTTGGTAAGTTTCTCAAAACGTATATAATTTTAAAAGAATAATATGTGTGTTTTCTAAAGTCACTTTCAAAATTTGCCGCTAAGGACCCTACTTTCTTTGGTATATGGTGACTAAGTGATATCTCCAATACCACATATATATATATATATATATATCTATGTATGTATGTGAATGTATCTCTCTACCATCAACTTGTGTGCTTCTACATATATACTATATATGGACAACGTGATAATGATTAAGTGAACTTTTTACTGTTAAAACATGACATAAAATATATAATAAAAAATTTGAAAGCCTAAAAAAATTTTAAAAAACTTATTTTTTTAGAACGCACTAAAGTGAAAGGGGGGCTTATCTTTAAAATTATAGAAAGATGTTCATTACTATCAAAGTGTACAAAAGGTTAATTGAGGGGACAATCTAACCATTCAAAATATATATATATATATATATATAAGGATAACATAAAAAAATATATATATAAGGGTAACATAAAATAACCAAATTAATTTATATTCTTTTCTAGTATTGACATCAAATTAATATATTTTTACTATTGAAACTTGAGGTAAAAATCAAATAAGAAACTTGATTATTAAAGATGAAAAGGGATTTTAAAAAAGAAATTAAGAACAGGCATGGCGAACGAAGAAAAGAAACGAAGAAAAGAAAGAAAGAACAAACAGGAAAAAGAAAAGGTTATTTTTTGTATTAATTTTTTAATATTTGATAATCATATTAGATTTTGATTAATTTAAAATCGATTTACATCAAATATCATAAAGAAAAAATTCTCTTAACATTTGTTTTTTTACTTACAAAACTCAAAATAAAATTTTATTTAAAAAGAATCAAATTTTTTTTACTCAAATTAATATGACATTGACAAAAGTAAAAAATAATAAATAAATAAACAAAAGGCTAGAGATTTACCCACCCTCTAGCTGCAAATACGTTCCCAAAAAGACAAGAATCGAACACCAATAATGCACCCATTTTAAAATGTTAAATTCTGGACTGACCACCATACCTTAGACCGCAACAAACGTTCACCTACTGTAGCATTTATCCGATCAACCATATGATGATTAATATGTGCATACCGGATCATATGCTTAGCATGTTCCTCCTTTTTATTAACTTATTAATTATCCCATCTTTTTCTTTTTAATTTGCCACATCATCCTGACCCACTTTGACATGACATCCCACTCCTATTTATTATTCGTACAATAACGTATTATATATATATATTAAAAATTTATTTGTCAATTTAAACTATACATCTTTATAAATTATAAATTTTATAATAAAAAATAAATTTTTTATATTAAAAATTTATAATTTAAATTACAAAATAACAAAATTTTATTATAAAATTAAATTTTTTGTTTAATATTATATTATCAATATAAATTTATAAAATTTATCCTAAAATTTTTAAAATATCATTTCTCTTCTCTTTTAGCATTTTATTTAACTTTCCTTTTCAGCAGCCAGAAAAAGCAAAACCCTTCTCAATTTAATTTTTATCCAATGGTGAATTGATGATTCTCTTTTAGTCCATTTACAAACGTAGAAATGGTTATTTTCATGCTTACGGAAAAGCGTGGATTTTTCTGTGTGTAGATAAGAAAGTATTAATTATTGGATAGATAACAGCCTGACTACAAATTCTGCCGCGGCACGCAGCCATTTATGTAAGTTTCATCCCATTGCCAGATCAACCGGCGGCTGCAAATTGAAATTTCTTGGGTAGAATTAGAAAAAAAAAAAAAAAAAAAAAAAAAAAAAAAAAAAAAAAAGTCAAAAACCAACGATATATTCTACCTGAAATGCTATATAACTAGGGATTATTTTATCCGAAATAATTCTTTATTAAAAATATTAAATTTAAAGCCATACGTTTCCAGAGACAACTTGTTTGTTCTGGAACCAACTACTGCTTACCTTCTTCTTCAATCAAAAGGCTCAAAATTACATCATATTCTTCGCTTTTCTATTGCTGAATTTCTGGCAATTCTTGTTTCTTCTATCGGTTTTCATGATTGTATCTCCGAACATTTTACCGCTGAGGAAGCGGCGGCCGTCTGCCGGAGCCTTTGTTTCACCGAAATTGACGGATGTGAAACTAGTTGAATCACTTCTCGAATTATCGCGGGAAGTCTCTTCTCTTGAGCCTCTTCGATTCCTTCTGAAACGAAGGTCGGTTTCTATTATCCGCAAGTTGAAGCTCTTTGCGGTTTTCTTCGAAGAGATTCTACGCAATCCTGTCTCCTACTTTCCTCATTCGGCGCTTCTCTGCTTTGAGGAAATGTACATAGTTTTCCAGAGGATCAAGACGCTGCTTGAGGATTGTTCTAACGGGAGCGAGATGTGGTTGCTGATGCAAGTCGAATCGGCGGACAACAGTTTCCACGATCTCACTCTGGATTTGTGGACTCTCTTGGATATTTTTCCGGTTAAAAATCTTGATCTGAGCAAAGACGTGGAAGAGATCGTCGCTTTGATCAGAAAACAAAGCGCCGAATCAAGAGCGGTCGTAGATCAGAGAGACGCTAAACTCAGGTGCGAGGTGTTAACCATGCTTGATTGGATCAGAAAGGGAATCGCACCTGAAAATTCAACGCTGAAGACAGTTTTCCAGAATTTAGGATTACGCGATGGAAGCAGTTGCGGCGAAGAAATCGAGAGACTCGAAGAGGAAATTCAGAATCAAATCGAGGAAAAGGCCAAATCAGATATTGTAACTTTGATCAGTCTCGTCCGTTACGCGAAATGCGTCCTGTTTGGATCATCAGCGCCGAAATCTGATAATCAAAGACGAAAAACCGCTTCCAAGGATGTTAATATCCCGGCGGATTTCCGGTGTCCAATAACACTGGAATTGATGCAGGATCCGGTAGTGGTGGCAACAGGACAGACGTACGATCGCGAATCAATCAAGCACTGGATCGAATCTGGTCACAACACGTGCCCAAAGACAGGTCAGATCCTGGCCCACACCAGCCTAGTCCCCAACGGCGCCTTGAGGAATTTAATAGCAATTTGGTGCCGGCAGCAGAAAATCCCTTTTGAGACGGCAGCCGATGATGAGAAACCAAACTGCTTTAAAGTCAACAAGGCGGCGGTGGAGGCTACAAAAATGACGGTGTCATTTTTGGTGAATAAACTCCCAACTTCAGAGCCAATGGAGGTTACAAACGGTGTCGTTTACGAGCTTCGTGTTCTTGCCAAAACAGACTCCGATAGCCGAACCTGCATCGCCGAGGCTGGGGCGATACCTATGCTTGTTAGGTATCTAGGTTCTGACGTAGGCTCGGAGCACCCGGATCTCCAAGTCAATGCTGTGACAACCATCCTAAACCTATCCATTCTAGAAGGAAACAAAACGAGAATCATGGAAACTGACGGCGCTTTAAACGGCGTCATCGAGGTGCTACGTTCAGGTGCCACTTGGGAGGCGAAGGGGAATGCCGCCGCTACAATATTCAGCCTGTGCAGTGTGCATGCGTACCGGAAAAAGTTAGGGAGGAAGACACGTGTCATCAATGGATTGATTGATTTGGCGAAAGATGGACCCAAAAGTTCCAAGAAGGATGCCCTCGTGGCAATTTCGAGTTTGGCGGGAGACAGGGAGGCGGTTGCGAAGTTAGTTGATGGAGGGGTGGTGGACATGGTGAATCAGGTAATTGTCAGTTTGCAGGAGGAGGCGGTGCCGATACTCGAATCGGTGGTGAAGAGAGGCGGAATAGTGGCGGTGGCGGCTGCTTATAACACTATTAGGAAATTGTCTGTGGCATTGAGGCAAGGATCGGATAATGTTAGGGAGAGCTCGGCGGCCGCTCTTGTTACAATTTGTACGAAAGGGGGTTCAGAAATGGTGGCGGAATTGGCAGGGATGCCGGGGATTGAAAGGACTATGTGGGAATTGATGGGAACAGGGACTGCGAGGGCTCGGCGGAAGGCAGCCACGTTGTTGAAGATTCTACGGAGATGGACCGACGGCTTGGAGGGTGTTGGTGTTACGGAAGGTTTCACCGTGGGTCCATCTACAGCCATAATGTTGCATGGTTATTAGTTTTTCTTCCTTTTTTTTTTTTGGGTTAAATTGTAAATCTTTTACTTTTGTAATTTGATTACTTTATTCTTCCATGTGTAACTCGTGTAAAATCATGTCAGTAAGATTTTCCAATTCAACAAGGAATCACCCATATATCCCTCGTGGTTCACATAAAATTGTCAGAAACGTGTTCATATGAAAAGCTTTTGATTTTATAATTTAAAATTTTATATTTTGTAATTTAATATAATTTAATTTATAAAATAATTTAATAAATAAAAAATACGAAGGAAAACTCAAAATTTTGAATGAACACCGAGAAACTAATGAATTGGGATTGTGAATAAATCCAAATGCAATGTTTAGGCGCCGCCATCGACATGGCCACACGTAACCGGCAGTGTTTGTTCTTCGTCTCTATCAAAGGTCAAATTTCATTAATAAATATGTACATATTACTAAAGTCAGAATCCTGAACCAATCGAACGTCGAAACGCGTAATTGAGGAAACCAAGAACCTTCAAAGCGTATCCAAGAACATATGTCAAGTTTCCTCTATGTAGTTTAATAGTATCTAAATGGCTTTTGCCAATCATTATTTATTTCTTCAATCTCCTTCTACTTCACTTTATCCAAGGAAAGAACTCGATACGCTTCAATGGGATTACATAAAATTTATGAGAGATTGTAAAAACATTAATTAGTATATTTTTTAATTTAATTTATTACTTAATACATTTATTAAAAATTATTATTTTTAATTTAAAATTAAAATTAGATAAATTTTGAAATTAAAAATTAATAAATTTAAAATTAAAGATTGATAAACTTTAAAATATATTCATACATATAATGAATTGATTAAATTAATTATATTTATATGATATTTTAATTATTAAATTACATAAATATAAAAAAAAATGTTAAATCAATACCAATTATTTTTTTTAATAATTGTGTCATATATCGTGCCAACTTTTGTTATTCTTTTATCAATTAATGAAATTCCCATTTGCACGAAGGAAAAAAAAAAAGGTTTATGGAATCATCCTAGTGATTATATGTGCCATGTTCATATCTAATCAGGCGTATTGCGCCAGGCCATTGGGTGGTACTTTCGAGCCAGAGATGGAATTACGATTGAAAGTCCTTGCTCTGCCTCAACATACCTTCCAAGCTCGGTTAAATTATTAAAATATAATTGATTGCTGCAGATCTTTGATCCCTGAGTTTGAGGACTGCCGCATTACGCATGCATATTGAGAAATAAATGGTGTGACTGACACACTAATTAAATATAGTGTATTATTAGAGAAGCATTTTATTATTTTTGATACCCTATTTATTTTCTGTGCTTTTAGTTTCCCTCACGATGAGGATAGTTGTTTAGTGTATCGGACACGACTTTTTCTTAATGTGGTTTCATGTTTATTAATCAATGCTATTTTCTATTTCTAAAAAACAAAAATCTTAAATCCCAGCTTCCGTTCCATCAACCCTAGTGCTTTTAGTCATGACATGGATTTAACATGTACTTGACTGTTATAACTGGAAAAACTTTCAAGAGATCAGCTCAGCTGAGGATTTAGTTTGGCTTTGATAGGACGGTTGAAATTTGTCCAGATATGCATGTTCTGTTTCCATCGGAGAGTGGGGAAAGTTTCCATGCTGGCACTGGGACAGATCTGTCCAATTCGAGGGCTTACCTTTTCTGATTAACATTATTCAGTTTCCTGTCTTTAATTTATACAAGGATATGGTAAGCGTCGAGCATCACACAGGAAAAACCACCAAGACTACCTTTTATGTTGGGTCGATATCCATGTACTAAAGTTATGATTTCAATAATCCTTATTCGGACCCTCTCTCCAAGATTTAGGTTTTTCCCTTTTTTGTAGTGCGTTTAATGCTTTTAGCACTTTTGAGTAGTACTTTACTGATATTATCGTTCTTTTTAGAGATTCTTGGTTTAAATTATTGTAGTATATGAATGCAACTGACAAATAAATTAAATGGAATTTCCTCTTATTGGTATATTGGGTCTGTTCTTCGTTTTAATAATGAATTTAGATTCGATCTGGAGAGAAATGGTCAAATTGAGATGCTTCAATTTGGCATGAATGAACCTTTTTTTCTAAACAAATCGAGAGGATTTCATGGGCTGTGTGTATATTGGAGCAGGACAGCTGGGTGGGCCGACCGACCGACCGACCGAGCAATTGGCAGAAGGGAATCAGACTGGGCTCAAATAGATTAATATATTAATTTAACAATAACAAAAGCCTTAAGTCTTTAACCAAATCTAATCGAGATGATGGGTCACTGAATTTCTTGGACGCAATCTAAATGGAAGGTTCCAATTCACCAGCCTAATTAAGAGAAAGGCCCTTAGTTTAAGAATTTCAACTAGGGCTCGTTTGGTTGGAGGGAGTGAGTATTCCTTAATTAAAATATAAGAACAATTCAAAATCAAAATTATTTATCAAAATGTTAGGTTTAACTAAGTCCTAATATTAATAGCTTTTATTAAGATAATGAATAGTCTT